GGTGGCACTGAGTGCCCCTTCAAAAGCTGCTGTCTCACTGTGAGCCTCAGACTCTCCAGTTTTCCAGCTGGCTGCAGTGAGGACAACCTGCCCTTCCACAGCTCCGGGGGAGGCAGAGGAAGGGCCCGAAGTCCTGCCCAAGAGGCAGGAGGGAGCAGCTTGGGCTGCCTCTTGTCAGCAGGGCAGTGGCTCCTATAAAAGCATCCTGACAAATGAGTGTCTCTGGCCTTTCATTGCCTCTCAAAGTGTGACAGCAGTGGCATCCTGCACCAAAGAGAGAGGGTGAAAGGTGCAGACCTTTTGGATTAGGTACACCTAAACCTCTCCCTCGTGGTGAGCTCCATGAAGAAGATGAAAAGGCTTCTGACCTCAAACAGCCAGGCGTCACCTGAAAGGAAAAAAAAAAAAAAAGACACTTAACTTTCTAAACAAATTCAAAGTCAAACGACTGATGGCAGAACATGCTGCTCTCTGCCTACCCTATTTCAAGGCTTGGCTGCGAGTCAGTGGCGTTTGAGCTGCAGCCAGCTGTGCCTGAGGATCCCTGGGGAGCCCCAAGCCTGGCTGCTGTCTGCCCACGCCTCTGCAGTGTCCTGATCTCTGTGAGACAGGGTGGATGCTGTGCTGCACACTGCAGGTCATGGCTGAGTCTCCCCAAAACACAGCACCTTCTCCCAGGCTGCCCAGCTCAGCTGGTGTGGTTCCCCCTCTCCTCCCCAGCCAAAGGCAGCATTCCTCAGGACAGCTACCGAGGAACATCCTGCATCCACAGCACAAGAGCTTCACTCTCCTTCCTCAACAACCTCGGTCAAAAATGCTGGGCCTTGACCAAGCCCCAACAACATCAGCTGTGTCAGCCCCAAGCCATGGGTAAATGTTCATATATTTATATGAAATACAAGAGCAGTTAGCAGTCCCTGGTAACTCTGTGCCAGGATGGGTTCATCTCACTGTGACAGCCCTGCCACCAGAAACATCACCAAGTCCAGACAAACTTCAGGTGATAAAAACCATAATGCAGCACAAGGGTTTTCTTTTTGACCTTCAATTCTCCCTTTTGCTGAGATCACAGCTTCTCACAGCTTGAGCAGTCTCTTTGCTGGATCCATCTGTGACGTGTAATGTTTTTGCCCAAACTCCATTTCCTTCCTTCCTTCCAAAGCATTAAGATTTGCTAATGACTCAGCCTCAATAAAACACAGCAAGGACCATCAAAATGTATGTGCAATTCAGGAATAAAATTCACAGGCTACATTCTTTAGGCTAGAATCTCCACTGCCCTTTATTTTCTCTCAAAAAGAATATTAACTCCCACTAGGTCTCGGTGCAAAGTAAACCTACCAGCAAAAGAGAAGTTTTAAAGGGAATCTATCTGCATGTAATAAATGAAGTGATAGATGGGACTGCAGAGGCTGTGATGGCCCTGGAGAGCCCTGGCCCCCAAACCTGTACAGGACTTAGAGCAGCAGTGCTCCCCAGCCACCCTCTGCCTGAACAGAGATCCCAGCAGCTCCCAGGAAATCACTTGCAGCAGAGCGTGGGTGGAAAGCGGAGAAGGAAACCACGGGGATTTTTTCTAGTTTAACATTCACAAATTTGAAAAGAGCATTTCAGGCAAAGCCTCATTTATTCTCAATGAAGATGGAGAGGCTGTGGCTTTTCTCTCTTGGTATTTGAGAATTGGCCCCAGGGTCTACCTGGTTGTGAACCAGAGCTCTTCAAGTTCTCTTGGCACAAAATGGCCTTGAAGTGCTTTTCTCTTTACAACAGTGCATGAGAAAGGAAAAGGGAGGTGACTCTGGGGCAGGTAAATGGCATTATCTGTCCTGTACAGGGGTGGAGACTGAGACTCAGCATCCTGTATTAATCCACCAGTTTCAAAAGTCTGTCATGATATGCATTTGAAATCTGATCCTCAATTCTTTGAAGTTATGCTTTTCACTGAATTTAATGGAATTTCGCATAGTCTCTAATCTCTCTGGTTTTCTTTTTAAGCAGCCACTTGCTTTCAGAAGACATTCATCCAGGCACCCAGTGTTCTCTAACAACAACAAAGCTTGGAAGTGTCCGAGCACAAGAACAGAGTGAAGGGAAATAAAGGTAAATTATAAACCCCAAAAAACAACCATCCAGTAAAAACCCCACCAAACAAATAACTCTAGTTTCTAATAAGAAATAAAAATATGGCCACTTTGCATAAATTCAGTGCAAGGGATTGACTCCAGACACAGTCTAAAAGTATCTTTAAAGTGCATGAAATCTATTTTTTACAGATATGAATTAAGAGGCTTATGGAAAAACATCCATAAAAAAACTCTTCTTTAAAGTTTCAGTACGACATGTGGCACTGAACTTGAGGGTTACTTTAGACATGCTTTCAGGCAGCAATACCCTTGTGTAACACCAAGTGAGCTGAGGATAATTGTAGTGAAACAGCCTCTATGGCACCAGCTTTCCTTTCCTATCAGCAATCCTGCAGGATGCTGGTAACACAGCTCAGTTATGTAAGAAAAAAACCACAGATTACAGGTGCAGTTCAGCACCTGTTGTACAGCTCAGAACTTATTTCTGTGTCTGAAACAGAAAAATCACAACTGAACAATGCATTTCAGGTGCTGCAGTAACCTGCTCTCAGGTTTGGGGGGGAACAGGGAAGCACTTCTCAAAACGAGGAGAATAAACCACCCTCAAACCCTTATTCCAGCTGAGAATTCAGACTTGCTCAGATTTACACCAGCTGAGATTCTGGCCCAAAGACTGGCAGAAAATGAGCTATCAGTGACAACAGATGGAAGGGCAGGACAAGGGCAGGGCTGAAAGAGCTTTTCAGAGCAATTCCTTTCCCTTCCTGTAAAAGCTGTAGTGAAAATCTTCAGTAAAGGTCCTTTGATTCCTGTCGAGCTCTGCTGGTCAATACAAAGATGTGACCCTTTCTTAAGGTCGGCCTGTATCCATGGTCTAATGTGCCAGAGGCAGGATTACCAGTTTTTGTATCCTTTTTATTTTCCTTTCCCTTGCTTATTGGTTATGGCTTAGTTTCCCATACTTAAGCTTAGTTAAATTTACTGGAACCAGCATTTTACCCTACATGTTCACTGTGATGAGAACCTTGTTTCCTTTGCATTAAAACTCCATTAAATTTAGATGTTTTATAAATGAGGACGCTTTCCTGCTCTACCTCCATTTACAGAATCACCATTCTGTTTAGAGTTAGATAAACCAGGAACATCTCAATGTGTAATTTCTAAAGGCAAACCCGAGTATTTAATCCATCAGTTTCTGAGATTGTTCCCGAGATCCTGGCGAGCTTCTCCCTGGCCAGCAGGTGACAGTCTCAGCAACAGAAACCCTGAGCACATCCCGAAGAGGGGATAGTTCAATCATCTGCGAGGATACAAACGTTATTTTTTTGGATTTAGATACACAGTCCACAAAAGGGGGCAATATTTTTTCACCAAACATGCCAGTTAAGAGAAAGGCCAGAAAAAAATTCCGGGTGTGATTCTCCACTTCCCTGAGGAGATATTACAGATAAGGACTTTAATGACACTGCAGTCAAGAGGTACCAGCACCATTCTTAGCAGCATTCAGAAAAAACCCTTTACACCTCAGCATAGGTGTGAAACCAGCAGCTGTAAATAAAAGCACTTATAAATCAAGCCTATTTGAAGCATAAGTGCATTCAAGGGTGACACAGTTTTTCTGGCTGATATCTTCGATGTGTTGAGGAGGGAACTGGATGTAGGGAATCTCTATGTGCATTGTAGGTGACTGTAACAATTCCCTGCAGAGTCACCATCCACAGTTACACACCAGAAGGAAGCCCAAGGTTCTCCAGCAGAACTTGCTGTTCTTGGCCATGGTCACTATCTCCCCAACACATTCAGTTTTAAGGAAGTTTTCTCATGCTCAGAACAGAAAGCCACAAACCATTTGCTTGATCTAATTTATTTTAATACAACTGAGACTTTGCCTGTGCAAAGGTCAAGTATAAACATTTTAAATCTAAATGGTTTGGCCAGTTTGAGATTAATCTAGTCAGAGCCTCAGAGAGGCTATAGCAATAACTTAATATACCAGAGATATGCTGATTTAAATACCTGCCTTTGGTGGTTTTCCTTGTGAAATGAAGATTTGAAGGTGTGCAAATTCCCAATCATAAGGATTTTAATCACATGCCTGGTGTCACAGACCATCTTGATTCAAATTGTGTTTTAACTGAATTTTACCAGCTGCATTAAATCAGAAAACTTGTCCATGTTTCTCTACAGTTTAGAAAAAGCATTTATGGATTACTAATGTGATAAAGGAATGTGTTGAGAAAACAAACAAATATCATATTGACTGCATTGTAAATCTCACCTGCATCACTGCTCCCTTGTGCTGTGCCTGTCAAATGGAGGAGATTCCTGCCCTCCCACACAGTCTATGTCCAAACAAGTGATGGAGTGAACCAGGACAGGTTGTATTTATTACCAAACAGAAAAGGAATTGTTAGTAGGTGCATTGTTTTAAAAGGGTGTCCTTACCTTGGTTTGTTTAACCCAAGCTGACAAAACAGGAATAATTTGGATTTGAATGTGGATGTGACATCCAATACTATGGCCAGTTACCCACACTCTCTGTCCTGAGAGCACCCTTCTTTTGTGCCATGGATAGAAGTTTTTCCAGATTATGTTTCTCCATAATGTTTCAATAATTCTTTCATTCTCTGTCCTCCATGCATCCATCTCCTTCCTGACACCCATCTTTTTCTTCATAGTGATTGCAAGATTCTCCTTCTTTCATTTCCCCTTCTCCCCTTTTCCTCACTAACCCCATTTGGTGTCTCAGACCATTTCACGGAAAACTGTGGAAAGCAGATTCTGTCCTGGGCAGTGGCAGGAGTGACCTGTGACACCCTCTGCAGTAACAGAAACCATCTCATGGTGGTCACACAAATCTTGCTGTCTCCTTGATGCTGCCAACCAATGGGAGCACCAGGATTTGTATCCTGCCCTGAGAAAAAGCAGGGCAAGTATTAGGCAAACTAATCACGTTGCAGGGATTTGTGTAATGAAAAGTACCTCTGCTCGGGGCTCAGAAATGGTGTGAATCAACCACACGCCATTGCCAGGGGCAAATTCACCTGGTATCTCCTTATTCTTTTCTGTCAAATTCATTACTGTGGCATCTCAACCTCTAGGAACAGCTACCAGAGCCTGGCCACCCCGTGGTTAAGGCACAGGGTCTGTCTCAGGGCAATCTAAAGTGATTTACACAGGGCTGGCTTCCCCCTGTGCTGTGCAGCCCTGTCTGTGCCTGGGGCTCTACACATCCCTAATGCAAACAAAGTAATGCAGACTTAATGATCGCTGTCATTTCCATGTGCCTACTGCTGATCTCTTAATGAAATATTCCACTTAAATTGCACTGGCACAAGCACAGCTCCGTGCTGGCAGGAGCTGCAAAACCGGAGTACCCAGTGAAAAGGTTCTGCAGTACAAAGGAAAGCTGGTAGTGAAACACTGCTCGACTGTTTCTGTGCCTGCTCCTGCAATAAACACAACACCTGCCAGGCTTTCTGAAGGGTAAGGAGAGAATAGAGGATGGAAATTGACTTTACCTCAGGTTGGGATACGGGAAAACCAGCTGAAATGAGGGTGACAGTCTGTGGGGATATGGATTTGGCATTCATGGATGGGTGAGTGGTGACCACTCAGTGCTGCTGTAACAGCCTTGCTCCCTCCTGTCAAATCCTGCTGCTGCAGGAGAGAAACATTGGGAACATGCAGTACCACACAGACTCTTTTTTTACCTATTGTCACAAGCAGTAAACCAAATATTGGTGGGGGAAAGCTAAAAATCTATTCATTGACCAAATGTGTGTTGTAGAAAATAGGAGTAAAATGACTGAAAAGCAGTGGGGTTTTTAAAAGTTGACTATACTGTACACTGAGTCAAAAATAAAGACAAATAGATATCATACATGTTCTTCACTATTCCAGAGATGAACAAAAGCATTGAGCTTACCTTTCTTTAGGCCATCAGCTCTTGCAGAATTGCATGGCATAAGTGGAGGTCTCTAAATTTTGCCTCTACTTTGGCCTTGCACACCTCACTCCTTCCCCAGTCTCCTCCAAGCACTGATCACATGCAAGGAGTCGCTGGCTACAGGCACTGCAGAGTCCCAGGAGCTGATGTAGGAGTAGAGAGCACCATCTGAAATCAGAGAATTCACACACTCTGCTTGGGTCACAGCACCCACTCCATCCTTCTACCTGCTCTCTCACAGTGGGGAAATGCTGAAGGTGCTGATGAGTTTGTGGTTGACTGATAGAAATACTTTTCCCCTAAATAAAAACCTATTTTAAGAGCATATATTTCAAAGCTAACTAGGTGGAAGGTAATGCAACAGGAGCTATGATTTAGTCCAGCTACTCTACCAAGTCCTCCTATAATTTCCTGGATGATTTGGAGTCCTTTCCTACACTTTTTCATGGTAGCTAACACTAAAAACTGCTTCAGCAGGAGAGAAATCAGCCCTATTCTGTATTGATCCACTAGTGATAGTTGAGAGGGGCATTATCTTCCCTGTTCTATCAGTACAAGGCAAATGGGGGAGGCTGTTTCCTTCAGGGAACCAGAGCTGTGTTAGAGACACAGGAAGAAGGGAACAATGCCCAAGATTTGCATTTGCTGAAGGGCTCAGCACATTGCTCCCTTGTGAGCCAGCCAAGACCGACAGCACATGAATCCTTGTGATTCATCCTTCCCCCTGGTCTACCTCTCTGTATCCAGCACGGCACAGAGAACTCTGTGTGTTTATTTATACACAAAAAGGTCTTTACTTGGTACTGCAGTATTTGGGTGCTTGGCTCAGGCTCCCAAGATGGAGCAGGGGTACAGACTGATCTGTTAAACCAGTATTTTCCACTTTTCTGCCAGACTGCTGGGTGACCTTGGGCAGTTTACAGCGACTTCACCTCTCACTACCTCAGTTTCTGTAAAATTATCCTGCTTAACTTTGAATGGAGGGTAGCTGTCAACTGATGCAAGGGGAGGGTATGTTGTTTACGTGTAACTCAAATAAAACCAATGCCTAAAACCTGAAAGCAGCAAGTAAGAGAAATTGAGAAAGAAAAGAGCAGAAATGTGAAATTGGTCCTCTGCCTCAGCTTTTCTCCACCTGCTGCCCTTCCTAAATACAGGCAATTACAGTCCAACTCCACCTTCCAATTTACTCCATGTCAGCCACGCTAAGTTCAGGTCACCCCCCAAGGCATCATAAATGACAGGGAAATAAGCCCATGCATGTTAGGAAGAGTCTCTTTAAAGGTTACAGCTCTGCTGTGCTGAAGAACGCACATTTCAGGGCAGATATTTCCCTTGGGAAGGCTCTGGATATGGAAACCTGGCAAGAAGGGCAGGTGAACAGGAAGGACACATTCCGGGCACTCCCTGTGCCTGCCCAGACTGTCGTTAGTGGTTCAAGGGAAAACATAACCCAGGGATGAAAGGGTGCATAGCCCAGGGATGCACGACATAGTGAGGCTGCCAGTCATGGACGTGTCAGGACTCTAAGCTGTTGAAAAGGCTCATGAGCTTCTGATGCTCAAGAACATCATATACAGAAGCTGTCTTTTCCTCCTACAAATAACTCCTCCAGGAGCCTGTAGGAAGCCCTGTCTAAGGGTTGTGACTGTCTCAGTGAACTGTGAGAAGCTGAAAAGCAGGACGCAGCTGCCCATCGGGGGCAGGAGGCAGACACGGAGCAGTGCCCAGCACCGCCTTTGCAGGACCTCCCGCGCTCGCAGGGGCTGATCCTGCGTGTCAAGTGCCACTCACGCCGTACACAGGCTCCCAACCTTTTCCTTCCAAGTGTTTGTTTAGCTGCTGTCTCGGGCTGTGGCAGGTCGGAAGCTCTATCTGGAGAAGGTTTGAACGTATCCAGCCCCTTTCAAAATCCCCCGTTGTCGGATGGCTGAAAACCCCCACACCTGGCCATAGGTGTGTGCATGCCCACCCATCCTGCCCAGGAAGGGGTTCTCAGCCCTTGCTCTCGCACTCATTTGCGGACATAGGAGCAGGCAGGAATGCCGGTCCGTGTGCCTGCTCCCGCCCCGCGCTGTGTCCTGCCCTCCTGTCACCTGAGCACGTAGGGCTGCGGCCATGCCTGTGTCCCCTGTGCAGGTCCGCGCTTACGGCGCCGATGCGTGCCCGGCAGCGCGGTGTGCGGGGGGCGGAGTGCGAGGGTGTGAGTGTGAGGGTGTGAGTGTGTGAGCAGTGAGTGTGTGAGCAGTGAGCGTGTGTAAGTGTGTAAGTGTGCGCACACGTCCTCACCGTGTCCCATCCCCTGGGGGCCGGGCAGCTCCGGGCGGCCGGAGCGCCGTAGGGCGGTGTCCTGTGCCTGTCCCCGGGGTACCCCCGTCCCGCCGAGCAGATTCGAGCCGAGCCAAGGGAGCCCGAGCCGGGCCGTGGCCGAGCGGGGCGGGGCGGTGGGAGGGGGCTGGCGGCGGGGCCGGAGCGCGGCGGAGCGGCGGGCGCAGAGCGCGGCGGACACCGCTCCGCTCCGCACGGCGCGCACCGGGGCCGGGCGCTCCGTGAGCCGCCGCGGGGGCGGCCGGCGCTGCGCTCGCTCCCCGCCGCGGAGCCGGGATGTGACTTGCGGAGGGCTGGCGGACAGAGCTGCCCTGCCGCCCTCGGCCGCAGCAGACAGCGGGTGAGCTGGTGGAGGGGCGGCGGGCGGGGGGACAGCGGCCCCGGACCGGCCCCGGGGGTACGGCCGGGGAAGGGCTGCGGGCCAGGGGGACGTAGCGGAGCCGCTCACCCGGCTCTGCGCCCTGCGCTGCCCGCAGAATTAGCCCGGTGTCTGCCAGCAGACAACAGGCTGGATATAGGAATCCTGGGGGGGATTAGACGGGATATAGGGCAGGACGTGGGGGGGGCTCGGAGCAGGGGGGCGCGCTGCGGGGAGCGGGGAGGAAGGCTGGCGAGGAGGGCAGTGGAGTTCGGAGAGGATGGGGAAGAAGAGCGGGGACAGGCGGGGGAGGAAGAGACGGGAAAAAGAATCCGAAGAGAGAAATGAGCGAAGGGACAAAAGACAGGAGGCTGAAGCGGGATAGCTGTTGTCCAGGAGGAAGAGGTTGCAGGCGGATTAACGCGAGTCCGGAGCGGAGGCAGCCGCGCACCGGCCGCACGGAGGGGTCGCTTGGCCTCGCACCGCGGTCGTAATTGCAGCCAAGCCCGGCACCTCACCGCATTCCCCAGCGGGAGCTCAAGGGCAGTGACAGGGAAGAGCCGAGGGGGAAGAGCCTTTTGTTGGCCCCTGGCCGCCGCGGTCCGGTCGCGGGGCTGGCGGGAGCTGCGGGTGCGCAGCAGTTTTCTCTCTAGTTAATAAAAGCCCTGTCTCTGTGTTACCTCTCCGCAAAGCCACGAAGAGAGAGGATTTAGCACTTATGTGAACCCTTTGTTTACACCTGCACTTAATGTTTATCCCAAGGCTAACAGGATTTCCTGCGTGCTCAACCCGTAGACCCAGCTTGGTGATCAGCGCTAGTACCGAGCAGCTGTTTAACGGGGATACCCTTGCTACTTACCAGCAGGGAATATCAGGGTTGCCTCGCTACATCAGAAAAAATCAGATGCCAGAACCCATCTGTTGGAAGGCTATGACATGAATAGAAATAGTGTGAGAATTAGCAAAGAAAATAAAAACATTGATTACTGTCATTGATCGCTATCAGTTGTGAATTCAATACCAAGCACTATGGTCAGAAGTACCTTGGCACACGTGATACACAGATTATGACCAAAGGGAATTGAGCCCCCAGAAAATTAGAGAGATAATTATATAGGGTATTCAATGTCACAAAGTATCTCTAAATGAAAGCAATACTTTTTCTACGTGTCCTTTTAGAGTGGGGTCTTGCCTTCTGTAACGGCGAGGCTGTAACAGAGCATGATGTGTATCTAATGCAGGAGCTGTCAAAATCACTGCTGTATTTTTGCCTACAAAGCACAATTGCACTATTAATTATTATTCTGGAAATACACACATCCCTTGAGTAGTCTGATCTCAGCTTGGCTGTTGCTGCTTTGTTATCAGTCCTGGAGCTCATTCCTCAGTTCTGATCAAAAGCAGCTGGCAGAGATCCTGTGTTGTGATTAATTCCTCACTCACTCGCTCACATCTCTCTACCACACTTCGTGGTGGGGGTGGTTTTTTTTTTTTTTGAAATTGCACAGTGAGCCAGTCTTCTGGCTGTGTGGCAGAGCAGGTTACGATTTGTGCTACTATTGCTTATATTTACTACATTGTTTTTCTTCTTTGCCACTGAATGCATCTTCCTGTGTCAGCTGACTAACATTTGAACTTCAGGTACAGGAGCAAATAATGCATCTAACCATGAATAGCCTAACCTTAAATCTTTGCACGATTACAGTTTTATTATGTATATATATTCTGTAGCAGCATACAGCCGTGTCTTTTTAATCCCTTTGCAAGCTTTGGTCAGAAGATTTTAGCTACAGAAAGCCTCATAGATTTTTAACCATGACAACTTTTTGATGACAACTGTGAGTTTTTCTGTTTCTGCTTAGTTGCTTGTAATTGTAGTTTGTACCCGCTGGGGCAGCTTTGTGTCTGCAATTTCTGTAGTGACTCTATGCCAGATAATGTAATGAAGGGGACACAACATTTTATCTGCAGAAAACAGTGGAGTTATTACAGCTGTCATTGAGAGCAGATTTTGAGCCAAAAATTGAGTATGGGATTTGAAGCTGTCCTGCTAATTGTTTGCTGCTTTTGCCTAAAATGTGTAAGGCTTATTGATTAGAATATTGATTGTAAGTGTTCCTGATTGCTGTGGTTTCAGGTATTTTGCCTTAATGGCTTTACTGAAATATAATTTTGGAGAGGAATCTGGGGGGGAAAAAAAATCCCAAGTTGCTTTTCTTCCCTGTGAACAGTTCATTGAGTATGTGGAGGAGTATCGGTGCCACTGGCTCTATCTGTGCTGGAATGTTTCTGTGGCATTCCCGTGTTACTGTAGTTCTCTGGCAGCAGAAGTGAAGCGCCAGCCGAATAGAGCGCTATTGTTACTACTGTGAGGTTGCATAACTTTAGTAATAGCTAATCTAGACATAAAGAGGTGAAAAAAACTCTCCTACAATTACTGATTTAAGTAAAAACCAGCAAGCGTGTGCAGTAAAATTTTACTACAAAATCTCAAGAGGCCATCCTACCCGCTTCACAGGCTTGAGGAAGATGCTATTTTAATAAAACCCCCATAATGATGTTTTTTGGTTGGTTTTGTTGGTTTTTTTTCAAAAACAACTTTTCTGGGGGAAAAAAAACCCTTCAGTTTTCCCTTAAAATGATTGAATCTTTGGTTTTAGCTAAAGTTGTGGTATTCACTTGCCAAACTTGTGTGTTGTAATTCAGTGTTTTCCCCTGTTTGTAAAACTGTCTGTGTTCAATGCTGAGTATCAGCACTAGAAAGAGGATTTTTTTGGCTGGTAATGTCTCAAGGGGTAGATTATTAATATTGCCTGCTTTTACCCAGTCAGGCAGAAATTGATAGTAAACAGGTTAGAAACAAACTGCTTTGTTGATAGCAGTTAGGAGGGAAAGGTTCCTCCTTTGGAGACTTCATGCCTTGCCTGCCAGCTTTGGCTGGGCAGGATCTGGTGTTTAGTGAGACTCACTGACATTGGGTGGGAAATTATTTCACACCAGGAATAACTGTCAGCAGTTCTAGAGATTTCTTGGTCAGTCCTGTGGCTGTCTAGGACCTTTCTTAAAGAACTACTGATTATGTCCCATCAGCTTTCCCAAAAGTAGGAAGTAACTTGGGAAAATTCCTCTTGAGTTGAACATCTCTATATTTCAGAATATGTATTTTGAATATATTTTGTCACAGCTTAATTCCCCCTTTCCAAAACTAACCACTTATTCATGGAGGGGGAAATACTCAAATTCATTAACCCTCCCTTCCCCCTCCCAAACACTTCCAAATAGGAAGAGGAAACAAATGATGGCCTGACAATATGACTGCTTACCCATGCAGCACAATCTCCATGGAAACAGACTGTCCTAGAATAGCTCAATCACATGAGGGTTACATGACATGAATAAAGTAACCAGAAAACTGGAAAATATCTTAGAACTGAGGATACTCACACTTAATTCATTACCCCCCAGGTCTTTGGAGAGTAGCTAATAAACAAAGCTACTATTGAAAGCAATTTAGTCCATGCTTATCATAATTTGTAAGTGATGGGGTAGTGGAAAATTAACATGACCCTCACTTCAGGGCTGGTTGTTGTCTCTAGTTTGGGTGACATTTAGAATTAATTTTGAATCATTTTCCACATGACCTCCTACTTCTTGAAATGGCACCACTGGTTTGGAGCATTGCCTTAGTGTAGACCCCAGTGGATTTCTCTCCTTTGTGTCAGCAGGCAGTGACCATTTCACACTTTTTAGGATGTTTCAAACATTCTAAAGAGGAAATTCAGTAGTTGCAGTGGGAATTGACTGCGCACAAAAGGAATTGGAGAACTATCTTCGGAATGTTTTCTTCTAGTTAATTATGTACTCAAAGGGCAAGGAGATTTATTGAGTGTATATTCAATACAAAAATGAATATATTTCACTGATGATTAGTTTTCTGTAAAGTCAGTGTTTTTAACGTGGGTGTTGCAACAGAGTAATTGAAGAACCTGTTACATAAATCAGATATAAACAAGTGCATATTCTACCAATCCACCATCAAGTAAATTACAGATAGGTAGAAAAAAACAAATCGTTTGTCCTTAGCAGGTCATTGCATCATTAGAACATTGCAGCCTTTCCAATAGTGCAAAGATTTATTTCTGTGGGCTGGCAGAGGTTGCCCATTACCCATTTCCTGTTTGTCCAAGCCCAGATCAAATTATTTGTCACAGCTTCCACTTCTGAGATTAAGGTTTGTAATAGGATGTTTTGTGTCCTGTGTGAATGAAGACCATAGAGTCATTACATGTTTATATTGGCATGTTTGCTGTCTTGGTGCCCCTAATAGGAAACATCAGAAGCTTCACCATCTGTCTCCTGATAGAGGCTGAAAATGGCCATTGGTCATTACACACTGGAGATTCAGATCCTCAGGATTTCTCTTTGGTCATTACAGAACTATAAAGCACAGGATTGTCATGCACGAGCAAATCCACAGTTCTCAGCTCTAAGAGACACAGTACAGTCTCAGACAGCCTATGTAAATAGTTTTTGTGTTGGTTATGACTGATTATGCTCAATGCAACATTGCACTGCTACTTCAAATTATTTTCAACTCTCATTAAAGTTTTCAAAGTTTTCATTGAAAGCAGTTCTAATCTACAAAATCTCTTTGGACAGGTAACCATTTAGGGCTGTTGTATGGCTTACAAAAGAACTCCTGATAGTTTCTCTGCTTTTCACTTTGCATCCTAAACATCTCCCATGAGGTGTGTGACTCACATTGACCAACATTACTGCTGCATACGTGGTGCTTTTCTTCCTCATGGTCATACAGTACAAGTGGGAGTCTGAAACGTTCCTCACATCAATGAGGAAAATCCTGCTGGAACCTGCAGCACTGACTGCCAGTGAAGGTTAACAGAGTCGGGTTTCACATCTGCTCCATACAGTGTTTACTCCAGACTGCCCTACAGGGCGGCTGTGGCCCAGGCAGACTGGCAGTTAAAGGTTACATTTTTTAACATTCTCCTTTGCTCTGCTTTGCTTAATAAAAGCAAATGCCATAATGTGTATTTTTAAAGCACCTAACCCATGTTCTTCCTAAAACTAAGTTGGGATTTGTCTAGGCTTTTGGTCCTAATGGTCAAGTGGGATGTGTTGTGTTCCTGGAGAGTTTACCATTGTCCATTCTTTGGATCCAAGAAAGTGATGCTCTGGTTTTTGTTATTTGTTTTCTTTGAATGTTTTTGGACTGGCTAAGAAGCACAATGAGGCATTCATTTTTGATTAGTTGATTGATGACACTGCATGTGTGCACCCTTGTCACAGAATATGAGATTTTTCTAGACTACCATTCCCATTTCCAAATGAAATCTAATATCTGGGCTTTGGAAGAGGATGAAAGAAGCGAATATGATAACTGCCTATTGACTGAGCATAAAGACAAGATTTTTCTTTTTTAAGAATGTACAATGTTTATTTTTCTTGGATTGCTTTATCCTTTAAAAAGTAATAATTTTAAAAGTGGTTTTGACTCTGCCTTTGTTCCACTAAAAGGAGCAAGGCTGTGGGACAGTCTAATTGTGATATAGCTTACACTGCCTCAGGCCCTGCAACTTAACCACCTTTAAACGCTTAAACAATGCTTTAAACACCTTGATGTGAGTGGGGTATTACATTTGAGCAGGTAGTAGGTGTCTAAGTATTGCAGACAATGTAATATTTGCAACAGGATACATAATTTCTTCTGGCTGTATTTTAGCCAATTGCAGGGTCAGAGTTTGGAAATGTTTTCAATCTGTGCAAACAGAGCAATGAGTCATTTTGCATTCTGAGTACAACAGGCCAAAGCAGCTTTTGGGAGGGCAGTGAAGGGGGCTGGGGGGAGGCTGTGCCAGCTGCAGATCCAGTGCAAAAACTGTAAACATGGGCTACTGAAACAAGCTGGGCTTCAGTGGCTGTGAAATCCTCCAAACTCAGCTCTAGCTAAACAAATATTTTGTTGTCTCAGACAGAAAAATGAAAACCTACCCAGCCATTGGTTTCTTCCTCTTCTTCGTGATCAGCTATGGCTCTTCAGAGAACTCCAGCACTGCTCAGGGGTGTGGGCTGGATCTCCTCCCTCAGTACGTGTACCTGTGTGACCTGGATGCCATCTGGGGGATTGTTCTGGAGGCGGTGGCGGGGGCAGGTGTGCTGACCACGCTGCTGCTGATGCTGATTTTGCTGGTGAGGCTGCCCTTCATCAAGGACAAAGAGAAGAAGAGCCCCCTGGGGATGCACTTCCTCTTTCTCTTCGGGACTCTGGGACTGTTCGGGCTGACGTTTGCCTTCATCATCCAGGAAGATGAAATGGTGTGCTCCACCCGAAGGTTTCTCTGGGGAGTTATCTTTGCTTTGTGCTTCTCGTGCTTGCTGGCCCAAGCCTGGAGACTCCGCAGGCTCGTTCGCCACGGGAAGAGCCCGTCTGGCTGGCACCTGGCCGGGGTGGCCGTCTGCCTGATGCTGGTGCAGGTCATCATTGCCACCGAGTGGCTGATCCTGACCATCGTCAGGGAGAACAAGCGGGCCTGCAGCTACGAGCCCATGGATTTTGTGATGGCTTCCATTTACGTTATGTTCCTGATGGTATTTACCATGGGATTTTCGTTTTTCACTCTCTGTGGGAAGTTTAAGAAATGGAAGAAAAACGGAGTATGCCTCATTATAACCCTGTTTTTTTCCATTCTGATTTGGGTAGCCTGGATGACTATGTACCTCTTCGGGAATGCTGAGCTGCAGAGAAGAGACAAATGGAGTGATCCCACTCTGGCTATTGCACTGGTGTCCAGTGGTTGGGTGTTTGTTATTTTTCATGCCATCCCAGAGGTCCACTGTACCATCCTTCCATCACAGCAGGAAAACACACCCAATTATTTTGATACTTCACAGCCAAGGATGCGTGAAACTGCTTTTGAGGAAGATATACAGCTTCCTCGGAGCTACATGGAAAATAAAGCCTTTTCAATGGATGAACATAATGCAGGTAAAAATTGCCTATAAAGGACTATATTTTTTTTTTGTAGTGTCAAGAAAACTCTCTGTATGAGAAATTTTTCAGGTGTTGAAAATTAAGGTCATGATAAATGAAATAATTTTCACACTACACCTTTTTTCCTTTTACAGTTTTCACTAAGATATCATCTACTGAGGGAGAAAAATGAAAAAAAATGCATACATAAACACATAGGTTAAAATTATTCTTCTGCATGTTGATTATTCTTTGAAAAACTGGACAATTTCAAATGCAAAGCCAACACCAAAAGAATAAAAAAATTCATTGTGGAACAAATAACAAATTATTTATTTTAAAGAATTTTAATTACTTTTTTTGTAATTAGCAGTTATCAACATTTAATACAAAATACTTTCCCAAAACCTCAGAAAAAAATAAAGTGGTCTATGTTACAAATTGCTCAGCCACTTGAGCAACAAAATAATTACTATTAATTATATTTCCATTAAAATGGATTTAGTGCCACTTTGTGTCCCTGTGGGGGAAAAATGCCAAGTGGTTTATGGACAGTTCAAAGACAGCCTTTGTTCTGAAGGCTCGAGTGTCTGAGGTTTCAGAGAGGTTTTGAGGTAATTTGCCTTCCTTGTTGTGGAACGATGTGTGGTGGCATCATTAAAATTTGCAGCGAAAATGGTTTTTGAGTAATTGCTGGAAGGTCCAGGAACAACGAGGTGCTTCAGAGATCCAAGCCCCGCTGGAGGGTTCAGGCAGGTCAGCAGTGCCGGCGGTGCCTCGGGGAGCAGGAGCCCCGTGGGGCTCTCGGGGGGGTTGTGCTGCCCCACACCTGGATGAAGGATTTTGTTCCACTGATTTTTTTTCACTCTCACGGAGAAGAATGCTGGCCTGGTATCCCAGGCAGTATTTGCCACATTGCTCTGGCACCTCCTGAAAGAAGGCTGAGGGCATTTCACCTTCCTATTCATATTTATGTGTCTGATTTCCTCTGGGTTTGATATTTCCCTGGGTACTGACCAGACATGGAGGAAAAGGAAAATCAAACACTTTTGTTTGGCACAGTGTAGGGTCAGGAAGGCATTTTTTCCTTTAAGTTTTTTAGCAGGAAATTTGAAGTTCTAGTAGGGAAGTTTTTTCTGTGAATAGATGCCACAAGGGCAGTGGCAAACTAAAAAAATTCACATGAATAAAAGAATGGCTGTTATTACTAATGTTCCAAAGCAAGAGCCAGTTGCACTATCGACTGCTACTAAAAGCACTCTTTTCTTTTTTTTCTGTGGTGTTTTGGTTTTTTGTTTTTGGTTTTTTTTTACTGTTCTCCATCCCCCATTAAATTAATTTCATAGTAAAGTAACTGCAGTGGCTTCAGTGAAGCTATTTCTGGCTAAGGCAGATCTAAGAACAAAATTGGATCTTTCACTCTGTATCATTCCTATTCATGGATGCATTTTAAAAAAAGAACTGGAAGCTCCTTTTTGATCTAATCATTCAGTAATTAAGTTTTTTTGTGAAATGGATAGATGTATGATAGCTATAAACTCATTATGCTATTGTAGTGCAATTTATGTTCTGTTTTAATCTATCTGAATTATAGTACAATACAAAATAGATTTCCTTATCTGATGTCCTTATTAATGTATACCATAATAAATGCCTGTCATTCCTATTCCCATGGCATATAGAATTTTTAATACATCAAAACAGATTAAATATTCCTTTGCAGCAGTTCTTTAAGGACTGGCTTGGGACAGCAGGGTTTGGAAACAAAACTTAGTAGCAGGGTAGATATACTTAAAGTAAATACTTTAATAATAACCAAGTCACTGAGTCAGATGCCCGTGCTGATGGTTCAGTGGCAAAGCACCTGGAGTCTGTGAGCAATTGGCTCTGCAGGTATGTAGAGAATGTTCCCTTCTCTCATCCATTTAATCAGACTTGATTTGAGAATTCATCATCAAGAGTTTAGAAATTATTGGAAAGGTACTTTCTTCAACTACTTTATACTTAAGAATGATGTTTAAGAATAGAAGATCCACTAGTTGTAAAGTTTGGAAGACATGGTAAGCAGAAAACAGTTTCCTGACTGTAATACTTGTTTCAGTAAACAGTTAGCTTTAAATAGAAAACATGCCTGGACAAACATATTTTCCATTAATTCTTGTTATTTCCACTAATACCTGTATAAAACAATTTAATAACTTTGCTCTTTTTTAAGATTTTAAGCAGCATTTTAAGAATCTGAACAGCTTTCAGGTTCAAACAAGCATATGTCCACCTTGATTCCTTCTCTCTTAGCAAAAATGAAGCTTCAAGTTATGCTTTGCAACAAGAGCTGCTCTATTCCAGGAACAATATTAAGCTTTAATAGAGCAAAACTATTCTAAAGTCAGTAACTTAAACATCATTTAAATAGCATACTAATCTGGGATTTTAATATTTATACAATAGGTTGAAATATCTCTTTAGAAGAGTTATTTTCATAGGTGTGCCTTCTAAAATTATATTACAGTATTTAGAAAGCCTGGACAAAGCAGTTGACTGAGTTCTCAGTGCTTTCTGGAAGTGCAGTGCACACTAGTAGGGAAACCTCTGTAGACAGAGAGAATTTGCCTTAAAGAAGAGAAATCTGGATGTGAAATGTAGAATGCCACAGCTGTCAGGAAACCCAAGCCCAAGCAGCTCTGGTATCATTAAATTTCATTTAATAACCTCTAGTACTACAGTCACCGTCACAGTCAATGCCTAAAAGCAAAGTGAACAAAATTCAAAAATGTGTTTAAAAGAGGCTTTGACACATTTGCTAAAATATCCTCATTACTGCTTGGTTTTTACCTACACATACTCTATGCAAGTGGATTTATTTGGTGGTAATGTAAAAAGTACAAGGAAAAATGGTAAAACTGGTGTGAGAAAAAAATCCAAAATGAGTATTTTGCCTAAAAGCTTTTCACAGATTCTCATGTCGAAATAAGTGTAGCTGTTTGCAATAATAGGGAAAGAAAATTTAGCAATATTGAATTTACTGGCTCTTTGAGATAGCTTTGAAATGACTGTGTATATTTTGTGTAAATATTCTGTATAAATATTTTAATGATGGTGTGCGTGATAAAGATATTTTTGTGTCTGTATGTACTAGCAAATACCAGTGCAATTATATTGTGTTTATCACACAAGAAGTAGTCAAATAGCAAAAAAAAAAAGTTACCAACCTTGAGATGGTTAAATAGCTAATAAAAAGTACTTAGTTGCAGTTTAGACATTTTCATAATTTTTTCTCCCAGTGTTCTGCAAAAATATGTGATTTTCCAATAGAGAGCAAGTGAGGGTCTGTATGTATCTGAAGTCAACAGCTGAGCATTTGCCGGGTGGAATTTCTAAATTTCCATGCTAAATCTGTACTGTTTCTCATCTTGGTGCACAACTCCCAAAGAGAGGAGTAGCAGTGGATAGAGGAGAGCATATGGCAGCAGGATCCATTTAAATCTTCTACATAGAGCAACTACACTGGAGATAAATCCTGGCTTCATTAAAGTCTGTGCTGAAATTCTCATAAACTTCAGCTCATTCACGATTTCAGGCAGAGACTGTAGAATTGTAATCTGAATTAAATCTAAGAGAAGTTCTTGCCCCAGGTGCCTGAACCGGGCATGTTTCTGTTTAGCAGCTGACAGATGAGTTTTGCCCGTTGTGACCACGCACATCGTGTGGATAAATGAGCTCTGTTCCCTGGCCACTCTGAGTTCAGTGAAGTCATTATTTACCCTCGAAATTAAAGAGGGAGTTTGTATGTGCCAATCCCCTGACTGCTTTTGAGAGAGCAGCATATCCCTCATATACATATCTCATTCAGAATTTACATCTTGAACCAAACTTGTACTAAAATTAATGGGGAGACTGATTTATTCCTGGTATAAACATCCAAGAGGGCTATCAGTATCTTGTCTTTGGCTTCAGTGATTTGCCATGTTTAAGCTATTTGAAAGCAATATTTACTCCATCTTTCTAGTTTCTCAGAGTAAATATAATCTGAAACATCTGGAAAATCCTTATATGCTAGTCATGCTGAAGTAATGCTCAGG